AGAGAAGATATATGGATTTGGAGAATTTTAATGTCATTTTTCTGAACCAATAAAAATATTAAAACATCCTGGAGCAGTAGACTAGAAGCCTGGACATCTCCTTTGTTTATTTATTTATTTTTCATTTATTGATTTTAGAAAAGAGGATGGAAGAAAGAGGAAGACATCAATTTGTTGTTCCACTTATTTATGCATTTATTGGTTGCTTCTTATGTCCTGCCTGGGGATCGAACCTGCAAACCTTGGTGCATTGGGATGACACTCTAACCAACTGAGCCACCCAGATGGGGCTTTCCTTTGTTTATTTACAATTACAAGGTCATGCATGTCTTAATTTTTTAAATTTGGCTTATTATATTCTTAATTGTGTCTTAATTATTAGAATAATAACTGTAATTGTTTAAAACACAGCCCATCTATGTGGGAACTGTTCTCTACACAAAATTACATTTTAAATAAATAATAGTTCAATGATTTTCTCATTTCACTGATGACCTTAGCTGTTTCTGAACTGTGGGGTTCAACTAGGATCTTTAAAGAAAAACTTTTTCAAAGGATAGGAGGGAAAGAAGGGACTGAGGGAGGGAGGAAGGAAGGAACGGAGGCAGGCTATTTTTCTAAAGTTGTCCCTAATTAGCTGGCTGCATATATTTGAAGAAATAATCTATACCTCAAATAATTCCACAGCCACAAAACACAGCCACTACCCAGCTACCAGGACGGTGAAGAGGAATAACAGACAAGACCGAACACTGGCGAGGATGATGAGCAACATTGCTGGTAGGAAAGTAGAACGCTACGGCCACTCGGGAAAGGAGTTTGGCAGTTTCGTATAAAACTAAACATGTAATTTCCAACATGACTCAGCAATCGCACTCTTGGGCATCTATCCCAGAGAAACGGAAAACTTACATTCACACAAAAACCTACACACGAATGTTTGTCGTAGTTTATTTCTAATAGCCCCAAACTGGAGACAGCCCACGTGTCCTTCAAAGGGGCAATGGTTGAGCAAGGTGTAGTACATTCACACTTTGGAATGCTGGTCAGTAACAGAAGGGAACTAACAATTGATACAAGTAACAACTTACATGACTCTCCAGGGAATTATGCTGTTTCCCCAAAGATTACATTCTGTATGACTCCATATATATGCAACACTTTCGAACTGACATCTTAGAAATGGAGAGCAGATTAGTTGTTGCCAGGTCTTGGGGGTGGGGCGAAAGATATGGTTATCAAGGTGAGGGATTCATGTGGTGTTGGGACTGTTCAGTATTTTGAGCGTGGTGGTAGGACACCTGAACCTACTCACGTGTTCAAACTTAACACACACACACATACCTCAGTGCCAGCAAAAGTGGCAAAGTCTGAATTTCCTTGGATTGTGTTAGTGGCAGTATCCTGGCTGTGATATTATACTACAGTGTTGCAGATTGTTACCCCTGGGGGCAACTGGGCAAAGTGTACAAGGGGTCTCTCGGTATTATTTCTTACAACTGCATGTGAATCTACAAGTATCTCAATAAAATTTCCAATGAACACAATTCAAACCCAAGTAATAAGTCCTGCCAATGACAATACTATAGTAAGACTTGCATGTTGGTGATATTTAGACGGTGATTTAGAGGAAGATCCTAAAGGCCCTGGGCACAGAACAAAGAAATGTGCTAGCGAATCACAATTTTGTACATCCAATTGTTTGGAAACCTGGTCATGTGGGTGAAAAGGCAAAGAAGCCTAGATCCCAGATCTAGAAAAAAACCTTAAAAGCACAGATCCTAGAGCTGATCTAGCCACTGGCCACGGACGCACCAGCTCAGGTACAGCAATGTACCTGAGGCATTAGTTCCATCCCTCCACTCCCACCAGGGACCGTCTGTACAACACCCCAGATTTCCCTAGAGCCGCAGCACTAGTGGGTTTCAGAGCAAACACTGGTGCACATGTTTTACGTGTACTAGTAAGAACTACTATTTACTGAGTGCCTGACATCACGGGCAGCTGCTAAGTCTATATCGGGGCTTAATTTATACCCATGATTTCAGTTCAATGAAGGACTTAAATTAAATTCATGATTAATTTTTAACTCTGGGTGAGGCATCATTATCTCCATTTTACGAGTGAACAAAGCGAGGCAGGGAGAATTTAACTAACTTGCTCTAGTGCCCTGGTCATGTCTGCGGTGGAGCCAGGGTAGAGCGTGGGTCTGAGGGGGTCAGAGCTGCCTTGTTGCCAGCACGCCGCCCACTGCTGCCTCCTAAACAGAGGTGGGATGTACCCAGGGTGATTTGCTTGACCATTTCCTTTAGATTAGGAATTCTTAATCTAGGAGCTGTAAGACCTTACCAGAGCCAAAGACTGGTTTCAGGAGACTGTGTACTGAAATCGATACACTGAAATCAGACACAAAATTTGGTACGCAGCTGCGCATACAAGTTTTTCTGAGGAAAGGGTCTGTCGTTTCCGTCGGATGCTCCAAAGAGGTTTGGGACTCAATAAACAGGTAAAGGACTCTGCAGTCAGATCCAAAGAGAGCTCTTTTTTCACTGGCTTGGGGAAGCGATACATCTTGGGAAAATAAAATCGACTGGCAAGTCCTACAGAGAAAGCAGGGTCAAAACCGCCCTTTGTAAAGTCATTGCAAAGAGGATGTGTGAAGTGACTCACTGAATTCCACCTCTGTCTCAGCAGAATTGTTTGACATTTCCCAACTATTCACTCCACGTATCTTTAGAAGGTAGTATTTTTGAAAAATCTGATATAGGATGAAAGGATATCAGGGTACACCTTAAGTTCAATGTAAAGGCTGGTCCACAGCCTCAGCATGCCATTGCACCGGTTGATTTTTATTGAGTATCTTTTATCACCTTCATCAATGTTTAACGGAAGTAAGGGTTAAGGAGGGAAGATGCAGCGCTACATGACCGCACTTACACTGAAATGCGTTCATTTTCTTGCCTTTGTAGTGTCTACAGTGCCCTTCCCCGCTCTTGGCCCAACAAACTTGAACTCTGCCTTTAAGTCTTAGACCAGGTCTTCGTGATTCTTCCGAGATCACCCCATCTCTCTTCTCCCAGGCAGAATTGTCCTGCAAGCCATGTTCTAGCCCTCTGCACACATCTCTATTAATGTGTCCTTGTCAGTTGCTCATGTCTGTTTCAGCAAGTTGACTGAGCCTCCAAAATGCTGCAGCTGTGACTGATTTGTGTTCTTTGCCCCTCATCACATGGGAGGTGGCCCACGTTTGCTGATGGATAAAACATAAGCTTCCATTTAGGAAGGTCCTACTGGCATGGTCTGTGTTGAAAGACTGTTAGATGTCTGTAAGGGTCTGAGTTAAATGACAACAGCAGTTACTTAATGAGTAAACTGAAAGGCATTTTGGTGACTTCCTCCAATGACCTCCCAACTCAGGTGTCGAGGGAACAGTCAAGCAAAGGAAGGTCCAGATACCTAGGCAGGTAAGGAGACAGGCTAATGAAGAAAAGGTTTTTAGGTCAGGAAAACAGCAGGGTATCAGAGGAGGGGCCAGAGAGAGTCTGGTCTGGAGAGAAGAGACTCCTTGACTGTGGGAATAAAGAAGAGGGGGAAATGCTACCTGGACTGAAAGGAGAATGAGGGTTTCTTAGGGCAGCATCAGAAACTCCAAAAGGATTTTTTCAGACCCTGGGATTCACGCTTAGAGAAACAGAGATAGATTCTGGATGTACTGCTCTGTTGCTTAAACATAGCTTGTAGTTTTTGGTATTTCATTAGAATCATTTGAAGTCTGAGCTGCAAGGGGCCAGAGAAATGACACAGGCTGGTCCTTTATTTGCTGGATTGAAGCTCAGAGAAGCCATGAATCCAGTGCAGGAAAGACTGCTTTCACAGGGCTCAGGCTGAGGCAGGCAGGCATGCCAAGGTGCTCTAGGCAGAGGGCTCCATTGATTCTGGGCTGTGACCTCAGAAAAGGCCCACACCACAGCCGCAGGGGGTGGCAGCAATGGCTCAGAACCTGGTTTCCTTCGGATACAAGCCAAATAAAAGCATTTGAAGAATTAGGTTAGTTGGTCAAAAACAAGTTTGATAATCATACCCAGCTTTTTCCTCTGTTAGCATATTATTTCCTTTCTCTAAGAGGTCAAGAGAGGAGTGGTTTGATGGAGAACTCATCACGAGCTTTTAGTTCTATCCTACAACTTCCGGGAGGAAGGGGAGTAGGAGTAGAAGGCAGGGAAACATTGGCTGTAAACTGCTTTTAATTTGGTTAAATTTTACCCGACTGGATAATAACAAACATCTACCTCTCCACATGACGCTTTTCTACAATCTTGCTCACCTTCCTATGTGGCACTGGTGTGATTCTGGCAACTTTGTTAAGGCTCAATAGAGAGCTCTTGCTACAGAGAACGCACCTAAATAAAAGACTTTATCTCTTAGAGAAGTCACTCACTTGAAATTGCATTATCTCACTGCTCTCTACTAAAATAAAATAACAGTATAGCCTATTTCTGCAAGGTGCTTGGTGTAGTAACAGGCCACGGGTTCATGTAACCTACCCTTCAGAAACTATCAGGAGCCCAAAGCCTTGAATCAAAGACCAGGAAAATCAACTCAGTCCTAGGAACCTCAATATCCCCATTTGTAAGTCCCCTGCGAGAATGTGGCGAAGATCCGGGGCGACCGTGCGCCGGCCGCGCCGCCCCGCCCGCCTCCGTCACCTCTGGTGCCGGCGGCCAGCCGCCAGGTCTCAGGACACCCGCGGCCCGCCGCGCCAGACTCGGAGCGCGAGGTTCCGGGGAGCGCTCGGGCCCCGCAGCCGATCTCCTCCGTCCCAAACCCGGAGCAAGCGGGAAACCTAGCCCCAACTAGCAGACTCTGCGCGCCCGAGCCTGGGAGGGAAACGCTGCCGCGCGCCGCGCCGCGCCCCGCCCCGACGTGCTCCGCGGGGGCGCGCGCGCACGCAGGCGCGGAGGCCGGGCGCGCGCGGGGCCGGGCCGGCACGGTGGCGAGGGCGCGCGCGGCTCCGGGAGGAGGCGGCGGCGGCGGAAGCAGCGAGGGCGGCGGGCGTCCGGCTCTGAGGCGGTGAAGGCGGCGACAGCGGCGGCTCCGGACGGGGCTGGGAGCGAGCGACGGTCGGTGGCGCCGGGGCGAGCGCTCAGCCCTCGGCTCAAGCGTCAGCCTGCCGCCCGGACGCCTGGGCCGCGGAGTTTGTGTCCCGGCTCGGATCCCGGCGCCCAGCCCGGAGCCGTAACCTTGAGGCGGCGGCGGCGGGGCCGGGCCGGGTCGGGCCGGGGGGCGGCGGCACTGGATCCTCGGCTGCCCGATCGTTGGCGGGAGATGTCGAACCCCGGGACACGCAGGAACGGCTCTAGCATCAAGATCCGTCTGACAGGTACGGCCGGTGGGAGGCCCAGACCGCCCCCCCAGGGCCCACTCGCGCCCCGCGCGGCCCCCTCGGCGGCCCCAGAATTTCCCGCAGGGCGCCCCGTTGGAGGGGCCCTCCCCCACACCGGCCGGCGTCCCAGGACCGCGTCCCCCCTGGGCTCGAGCCCCTCGCGTCTCCCTCCGGCCCCGCCCCCTCGCGTCTCCCGGCCCCGCCCCCTCGCCGCTGTTCGCCCTCTGGTTTCCCTCCTCATTCCCCCACCTGCCCCCTCGCTTCTCCCCCCGGTGGCGCCCCGTTTCAGCCTCTCCGTCCTTCTGCTCGTTCTCTTCCTTTTCCTCCCCCGTGTTCCGTCGCTTCTTCCCTCCTGACCCCGCCTCCCCTTCCCCCTCCGCCCCTCGCTTCCCTCTCCCCTCACCTGCCCCTCACTGCTCGCCTCCCCCCCCCCCCCCGGTCCCGCCCCGTCCTTCTCCCACCTCCCCGTTCTCCGTCTCCCTGCCTCTCCCGGCCTCTCTCGGCTGCTCCTCCGCCGGGCCGCTCCGCCCCCTACCCGCCCCCACCCCGCAGCGCCGGCCCCCGGCCTCCCGATTGCAGTCCGGGGTCGGCCCCCTCTGCCCCTCGCGGCTTCCCTTCGGGCCCCGCCCCTTTCCCCCTAGTTTCGCCCCCTCACTTTCTCTCCTAAACTCCGCCCCTCATTTTCTACTTAGTCCCGCCCCCGCTTATCCAGCCGACCCGCCTCCGTGCTCAGTCGGCCTGGCGGCCTCCACCCTTTCCTTCAGCCTGGGATTCCTCGGTGCTGCCCTGGAGCTTCTCGTCGGCCCGTCCTCCTCGACTCCCCTCGGTCGAGACCTCCTCGGTCTAGTCCACTTCCTCTCTCTCAGGCCAAGCCGCCGTCTGCCCTTGACTGTGCTGCTTCCATTCTTTTCTGCGTTGTCTGCATTGCACTTTACCATCGCCCCCGCCCCTGCTTGAACCCTTGAGCCGGATCAGGGTGTTGACCCCCACCCCCCGACACACACACACGCACACACGCACGCAGCAGCTGCACGACTGCAGGCTCCTTGATTCACTTGCATGTAGTCTTCAATGGAATTCCTGCGTCTCCTAGGTGGCTCTGTAGTGCCACCTTCGAGGGCAAGCGCGAAGCTCTGCTGCGGGCCTGCGACGTGGTGGGTCGTGTGGAGGTGTGCAGATGCCAACGGCGTCTGCTAGAGGGCCCTCGCCGGCGGGCTCCGGGGGTCCCAGGCCAGTCCGCATCCCCTTCTGCCCCTTCTTCTTGTCCACCCCTGCGGGGCTGCTACCCGCCTCCCCGTTTAACTGCATAGCTGAGGGCGGATTGTAGTGTTGCAAATACCGTTTTGTTGGGGGACTTTCCAAACTTGAATATTGCTAGCTCTGAAAAGGAAATAAAAAGTTTAGGCTAATCCCTGTAAGGGGTTTTCCCCTGGATTTTTCTGTTCAGTGGCCCGTCTGATCAGGACTCCAAAGTCAGAGTCCCTTTCAGGGAGACAATGAGCATTTCGGACACTTTGTGGCACATTCATAGCCTTAAATCATTGATAAATCTGTGAAAACAGCAATGAGTGATTGTTTGAAACTAAAGTAGCCTTTGAAAGTCACAGTTGATGCATGATTCGTTTCTTTTTGTTTCCAGGAGAGGGTTATAAATTTTTTAGGTATGAATTGATCAGGTTACGATCAGGTAATATAACCAGATTAGATGATGATTTGGACCCAAACCCAGACCCCGGTTTTGTAAAGTAGCCGGCGTATTCCAGGGGTCATTGCTCCTGGAGAAACATGATCTTGTATTGCGGGGTTGGTCGGAAACACTTCTCACTCTGTAGATGCAGTATATACATTGTTATTTTTATGGTTACATAAAAGCCACTTTTTGACTTTGTAATACTTGTTAAACTTTAATTACTGACAACTTTACTTTGGTTTTCATTTACAAAGTAATCTATAATTGACATCAGAATGGTTTCAGTTTTGTTAAAAGCAAAAGTAACTGATTTTGTGAGTTTTGGTAGAAATGCAATTGGTGTTTTAGAAGTAATAGGTTTTAATTGTAATGTTTGTGTCAGGTGTATATGTATTAATCCTAATAGGCAAGTCTGGGTGTGGGCCTTTTCCTTGTGAACGAGAAGGCTTGGTTCATCTTCCCAAATTGCTTTTGATTCAGGAATTTAGATGTTATAGATGTAGAAATGTTTCAAAAATGCTTCAGGAGTTTTAATATAATTTAGTATTGAAGGATCAGGTGATGACTGTTTTGCTCTTTTCCCCTGTTGGTGTTAATGATACAGCAGAGGGTGGCTGTCCCTGAAACAGGGTTGAGAGTTCAGGAGGGTTGCAGACACACGCGATGCCAGGTGTCTGCTGGATGTTAATTCAGGTGAAAACGTTGAAACTGGGTATCTTGTTGAAGGCAGGCTGGGTTTTGGCCTCATGGTTGTCAGGGGAAGTTTGAAATACCTTCACTTCTGGCAAGTTGGCTCGTCATTCTTCAAAAGTGTGTACTTTTGTTACAGGTTTCAAAGTTTATTTCCACATGTAATACTAGAAAAAATGACTTTTAGAAATGAGAGCTGTTCTAACCAGTAAATACCACACAGAGCGTAATTCACTACAAAATATGAAGAAGACATGGGCATAATAAAAGCATTTAGAACTTTAGGGTCCACAACTACAGTTGTGTTTGGTGCTGAGTAGAATATTGGGTTTAGAATTGAGATACCTGACGTTGTCAGATCTACCATAAATTGCACAACATGGAACAAATTATGTAACCTTTCTGGGCCTCAGTTTTCTCATACATAAAATGAAATTTCAACTCCATATGAAACATTTTTTGGTTCTCCTTCTTACAGGACTTATTCGTTTGGCTTATTACAAATTACCATTGGGTGCTTATGTTTTCTGTTAGGTCTCAATCCTGACCTTCAGAAGTTTGTGTTCAGTTTATGACAAGCATTGCTTTTGTGTATCGATTGCATTTATGATTTCTTTTCTTCCTGTGGAATGCTTTTTGTTTTTGAGAACTATTGGGTAGTTGTTGAACTGCTTTGGAAATTTGGCCTAACCAGTAGAAGAATGAGTCTTTTTAATTTTATTTTATTTATTTATTTTTAGAGCGGGGGAAGGGAGGGAGTTAGAGAAACATCTATGGGTGAGAGATACATGGATGTGTTGGTTGCCTCTTGCCCACTCCTAACCGGGCGCCCACCTGGCCCACAAGCCAGGCCTGTGCCCTGACTGGGAATCTGACCGGCAGCCCTTTGGTTCGCAGGCTGGCACTCACTACTTCACTGAGCCCTACCAGCCAGGGCAAATGTTTGAGTATTTATATTTAAAAGAATATAATGTTAATGAATGTCTTTGTGGTAATTTAGCAGGATACAAGTTTTTAAAGGTATCAGTAGGTTTGGAGCATGATATTTTCAAAATGGAGCGATCTTTGTTAAAAAACATTATCTTACAGACATTTTAGAGTTCGTTGGCAAATCAAACACTTGGGAAACATTTGTATTTTTAATTCAAGCAGGATTTGCAAAAACTTTGCTCTTACGTGGTGCACAAATGAATCCCAGACGTTATTTAGGCCACTTTGGGTGAAAGAGTGGAGTTTTGAGCCCTGAGGTTCCACAGTGCTCTTCAAACAAAATTAAATTTTATTACAATATTAACCACTTAGCTGAAATACTGAATGTCTGAACTTTTTTTTTAATGCCTTGAAGTCCTCTGACCTTCTTGTGTTTTGTTTATCTTTTGGATCGGGACTGCGTATTATTGTGAAGAGAGTAAAAATCCAACTCCGAGCAGAGGGAGACCTGCCTTGATAGCACATGGGAATAGAGGCTGTTTTTAAAGTTGTAACCCATGTGATATAAGGCTGGCTTGCATTTTGGCATCAAGATGATGCAACTTGGAGAGAAATAGTTGTTAATAACTTTAATTGATCAATAACAGGTGAGCTGATTGATTCAAAATAGTTATATCTCTCTTAAGAAAGGTAAAAACTGTTAAGGGTGTGGTCTTTGTCAGTTTGTGCCAGCAAAAAACCTCCCTTCTTCCAGGCAGGTGAAACTTTTAACAATCCACAACTTCGGTAAGATGGAATTTCTAACCATCAGTATTTAGCCTTGCATTGCACCTGAGTTTGTGTATTTTTCTCAGGGTCAGCTTCAAGTTTGTGAGGTACAGTCAAGGTACTTTTCTGAGCTGAATTCTTTAAGGATGCGGTGTGGGGTAAATCAGATACTATTGCAAAACTTAAACCTCAGTTATACTTTAAAATGAGTCACATTCGGCCAAATGCAGGACAATTACTGGTTTTATTTGTGATTCGATCACATTTGTGTTGTCTTAGAAAAAACTTTTTTTAATTCATTATTTCTTTTTAATTTTTTTGGCCCAACTAGCAGACTTGAGAAGTGAAATATTTAATGTCTTTTATTTCTGTCCATACTGATATGGTGGTTGTGACCCACCAGGGCGAAACTTGCGACTTCAGGTTTATGGTCAGAGACCCAAACTTCTCTTTTGCGCCCATGACTGCGGTGTCTGGACTTGGGGTTCTTTCTCCTTTTCTGCACATCTTCATTCTCCCCATTTGGCCGCACTGTCAGGCTCTCGTGTGGGGCCTCGCGTGACTGGGGAGGCGCTGGGGGCTGAGTCACTGGTGAAGGAGTGCCTCATCACGAATTTGAGAAAGGAGGAAAGGCTGACCCACGGAGTTTCAACATCAGCTCGACGAGCCAGTCACCCAGACTGGCTGTTGCGCAACGGCCCCGTCTGCGGGCACTGGGTGAGAGTTAAATAGCTGAATTGTGCATTTGAGCGAGTGCCAGACTGAAGGGGTTGCTCAAAAAGCCTTCTGAAATGGACGAAATAATTTCGTATTTTCTAGTTGAGAAATCTTCACTTTTAGGGTTATTTGGATCAACGTCTTGTAATTTCAAAACCATTTTAACAAACAGAGAATTAAAAGTATGTGGGTTGCTTTGGTC